CGTACTCCATGCACTAGCGGACAAGAGAGCAGGTTCCACTCTCTTGAAAAATCCAGCCGCGGTCATTTTAAATGGGACGGACTGCTGGGCCGAGTCCGAAACCGAGCCGCTCATGCTGCCAAAGTCGGGCAGCGAAGAGATATTCTGTAGAGAAAGGAGAACCTGCATGATCCACGAGCGGGAGACTTGACTTTACGGACGCACTGTGGAGCAAACCCTTACGTAATGGGCACATCATTCTTTAAGCCCGGATCGCGCAGAGCCTTAAGACCGAGGGTAGGAGCGATAAGACTTTAGCTTTAGTAAAATCGTCGCGCGGAAAGGCTCTGGGAGGGGACAGGGGGGTTCAAATGAGGCGAGGGTAGGCCCGGTGGAGGGACGGGGACGGGCAGGTCAGCCGGTGGGGCGGCAGAGGAGCGGAGGGGGCGACCGGCGGAGGGAGGGACAGGGAGCGCGCGCAGGAGAGCGAGGGCGGAGGTCTCATGTAAAGTGGCGGAGGGGCGAGTGCGAGGTCCCTGTCTCGCTGGTGCTCACATGGTTTGTGCGAAAGAGGGACCACCTGATGATCAGTAACCGGGCGTGGTTGCCAGATGACGTGGTGGGAGGATCCAATGGGGGGCGCCGCTGGTGATGACGTGCCCGGATGGTTGGATAGATGGGTACGCGTGGATGGATGGCGACAAGAGTTGACTAAAAACAATAGCAGTCTAGTTTGTCAACGCTGCTCCCCCAGCTGGGGGGCCACTGACAGCGGTGATCGCACCGGCTGCACCCGGTCCCCGCTCCGGCCAGCGGTGACACGGGCAGCGGGGCTCCGACGCGGTCGACCCCCAACCCCCCACCCCGTCTCAGAAGGACCGAGCCGGACAGTGCTCGCCAGAGCTAGCGAGCGTCGAGCGTCGTCGTCGTCGAGAGCGAGGGAGGGAGCGAGGGAGAGGCAGACCGACGGTCTCTCAGAGACGAGGAGCGCAGGGTCGGATCGATCTGAGCGCATGGAAGGCAAGGAAGGAGGAGGAGGAGGAGGCGATGGATTCGTAAGGCGTTCGGTAGAGATGCAGGGTTAGTGCGGGAGGGCGGGCGATGAGGAGGTCGGATTTCGTGAAGCGGAGGGCGGGCGGTGGCGAAGGAGCTGCTGCTGCTGCTGCAGGGTGGAGACATTGTGGCGAGTTGTTGTTGTTGGTGGCGGGCGAGTCGAGTGATCTGGCGACGACGGACGGCAATCGAGGATTAGGTGGTGGTTCTCGGTGCGAGGCAGTAGACGCGTACATCAGGTGGGGAGGATGGCGGTGTGAGTTGTGTGGAGGCGTTCGGAGGTCAGGGCAAATTGTCGGATGGAATTTTCTGACAAATTTTGGCGAGAAGAAGCAGAAGACGACGACCGTATGCAGCTTGGTTTTTGTGTAGGACGAGAGCTGAGGGAGGGAGCGCTCAGTCGGTCGTTCTTGACAAGTGACAGAAGAATTGCGCTCCGAGATCAGACTGAACAGGCAGAGGGGGTCTTCAGACGCTACTCACCGGTAGCTTTTATGTATAGCCAAGACGCCTTCCTCCTTGTTAAGCTCAGGGGTCATCCTTCTAAGTAATCAAACCAAAATACTCTACGATTAACTACAGCGACTTGGGGCGTAAACATGTGGTTTCCTGTACGCCAGACAGTGCAACGGGGCGCTCTGGCCACCTGCAAGCGAAACTCGCGTAACCTGCATTTCCCTGCCTTCACATCATGCCAGTTCTACACCACTGCCTCGGGATGAGATTTGAGGATCAGGAGGTTGCTAGCAGGGATTAAAGACATCGCCCGCTTCAATAGCGGCGAACTTGCGCGCCGGGGCAGGAAATTTCTCGAGCTAAACCCCGCTGCTGACAAAACACCGTCCCGCCCTCTGCCCGCCGCCAAAGCGTCCGTCTCAAGAACCACCCTGGGGGGTTCTGCTAGCGGACAGGGGTCCGCTAACGGAACCCCGCCGGATCCCCTCCGCCCTGTCGTATTCTCGCCCCTTGACTTCGTCGTCCGGGACTTTTTCTTGCCGCTGTTGATCGGTGCAAGGAGCCGATCCGCGGGGAAGTGTCACGTCCAGAGCTGTCCACGCTGCGACTCCCTCCATGTGACAGTTTCAGAGTCGCAGTACTTCCAGGTAAGGAACTTTTTTCTTACGCTAGCATTGGCGCACATCTGCGTCTATTGAAAAGATTACGAGAACATACTCGGACGCCGCATGCGACTGTTGTTGTTCTCCATGATCCTGCATTACCAACTGGAGATCCGCACTGCTTTGCTCGGAACACTGGACTCCGCTTGCTGTGCTGCATGTGGCACGCGATCGCCTTTTCATGCGGTGAGACGCAACACCACCGCTATGATCCATGCAACAAAAAAGACAAAAGGAAAACGGAAATCAGCGAGTGAAGCGAATTCATCTTTGCTTGGAAGGGAACGACGTTCATTCACATTCCTTTAAGGATGAAGATGATTTCCTCTGAGAGCAGTCACCTCCTCGTGCACAGGGACTGACTCATCCCAGAAAGTTCTCATGGACACCCGCGGGAGAGCAAAGTAAATGACTGCGGTCTGTAAAAGGGAGGCTTCGATTGGAATGATGTCGCCAGGAGTAGTGAGACCAGCGACAACCTTCTGCATGTATCGTAAGCTTGCAGATGTTTCCAGTATTTTATATCGCGGCTCGAGATCCCAAACGAATAACGTCGTGGGGTGTTATATCAGAGGGGACGAGGTTTTCTAAATGGTCCGAAGACGTCGGAGTGATTAAAATAGAAGAAAATACGGAAGTTTTGTGGATTACACCGAGTCAGCCGAACTAGTAATCTTTCCAGTATGAAGAGAACCTACATATGGAAATGCTTTGAAAAATTGATCACATCCTATCCACGGGGCCTTTCCTACAAGCCCCACCGCGCTGAGAGAGACCATGAGACTTGACTGGAGTCGCTTCTCTCTGAAGAACTCAAGAATTCTTCGTCTCGACTGTGTCCACTTCGAGCGACGAGAGTTCCACGCTTTCACTTTCGCTGAACGCAACCTGGCCGCTTTCCAAATGCGCTCTGACTTCCAGAAAGTGTCCGCTTCCATAAGACTGCAGCTGGAAACGATAAAGACAGTCTACAGGAAGCTGATGCATGTTCAACCAAGCAAGATCCACTTTGACGTCCTGATCAGGAGACTCCTCCGCCTATGTCACAGACACTGAAGTACAGCCCGTTCAAATGCTTCGAATGGAGACCCGCCACACGTTAAAACAAACTCCAATCTTTGAGCCCCTTCACTACGAGACGTACCTTGTTACATCGTTGATGCATATCAGTCCACAAGTTTGAAGATCGAAACCACTACGGGCCGAACATAATGCATCGCAGCCTTCATAATTTGTTTCCATTAAGCCCATTCAAAATTAACAAGAGTGATAAGTAGTTGTAGAACCTTCTCACAGAACTCGGAGATTGTATTTGATGTGTATAGACTGTTAATGAACCTGTTTTCCTCCTATCAAAAGACAGAAACCACTTCCTTTGAAAGAGGATAAATATATTTTAGTAATGTGACGCTGAGAAGGGACACGATTGCAGCTGAATACTTCCATGAAGTAAAAGAGTACGGAGACTACAAATTGTCCGAAGGTCGACACCGCGTTGTACGGCAGAAAACTCTGAAGATTGCTTTGGACATCCATAGCAGCTGCAGATATTCGCTTCGATAACCGAGACCTCTCCCCTCATACCACATCTCTGACTTCATTCTGAAGATGCATCCTGCTTTGATGTATTCTTCTCCGGACGAACTGGAGCATTTTACTCTCAAGATTCCCACCTGGGTGAAGCGGGTGCATTCCAAAGTTCATCAAGTCCAAGAGCTTCTCAAAGATGCTTCTGACTATTAAAACACTAATCTGGCCGCTCGAAGACACGACAAGTCTCGCTGATCTGAATACGCCTTCAATATTACGAACTTTGGGGATGGATGCAGCTGGGAACGTTAACAACTGAAGCTCGGCCTTGGTCTTCTAATTAACCTCTGTCGAAGCGCGTTTTCTGAATGCTTTAATTCGCCGTTCGTACAACGTATTGTTCGTGGAAATATTTCAAACAACAAGGTTGCTCTATGTAGTAGAATGAAATGCATTATACATCATGAAATTCTCCTCGAACATCAGTAATCAATGAAAATTTGATGAAGCAGCAACAGCTAACTTTACGTTCAAGGTGACCTCGCCTCGTCCAAAACGCTTTTGATGCTGTCGGCGGAGCCTTGTTCAACAGACATTCTTGACCTAAAGTGCTCTCTTACTCTGAATATCTCATTTCTAGCTTTGACTTAGATCAGTTTAGTTCAAGTTCAGAACTGAAATCTTGAGGAGAACGAAGTCATACTGTTAAGTATCTTCGCTTGAAGTTATTTAAAATCTATATTATCAAAATACTACTTTAGTATTGAGACCAAGTCAAACTTTCCGTGTTGACTTACTTGGGTCATTCATTCATCACGCGTTGTTTCATGGGATATTAGAAAAAATGGATAAATTAGAAACACGAATTTCACTTGAGTACTTATTGATGATCTGCGCTTACTGCTGCCGTGATCAGGACCACCACCATCCTTTTTATAGACCCGTCCATCCATCCATCCATCCAGAACACCAAGGACCATTCTTTCTTTCTATCTCTCTCCAGAGGATATAAAAGTCGGCCGCCCTCTAGTACGAGTCTTCTCTTCGGTGGTCACTGCGTCCGGAGAGCAAGCCAGGAGATGTTCATCGGCCGGTCTTTTCCGAATTGGAGGAGCTCGAAATTAGAAGACACGCCGGTCTGGTCATCTAGCGATCTAGTCGTCAGAGTTGCTGGTGAAATAAGAAGACAATGATACTTTTAGCACAGCAATTGCATAGATTTTGCAATTCGAGCTTGCTGACCTTCAGACTCTTCACCATAACTTTGTATATGCTAGAATTGGGCAATCTGTTCTCATATCTTGATGCTCAATTCAAGCTCTATGTACTTGCAGATGTAATCAAATTCCAATCCAGAATCATGTAACCCTGCAGGTTGATGAACTTTGCTTCCAAGAGAAGAGGAAGGAGAGAAGGCCTATTGGCGTAGATTAGCCTTCCAAAGGACACAATGTGAGGAAGAAAAGGAAGCCCCGCCAAAAAATCTTTGCACACGTCACGACGATTAAAAGCTTTGCATGGTGGCCGATGAATCCAAGCGGAGAGTTGATAAATGAAATATCCATGACCGTAGACCACCTAGTTCGTTCATGCGTGCCCAGGGAGGCGTAAAGAAAGCATTCGATCCTCAAAGTCCAGTGAAGGTTTAACCACTTCAACTTTCACTGCCCATTCTCGGAACCCAGCAGGGCATTTGGAAGATCCAATGTTATGGTTCATGATCAAGGATTCCCATCCCTGCTGACCGCTCCTGAACTCATGCCCCGCATACTCGCACAACGCTGCTAAGAGCTAGCTGCGACTGAGAGCGTCTTAACAAGGAGGAAGGCGTCTTGGCTGTACATAGAAGCTACCGGTGAGTAGCGTCTGAAGACCCCCTCTGCCTGTTCAGTCTGATCTCGGAGCGCAATTCTTCTGTCACTTGTCAAGAACGACCGACTGCCATCAGCATTACTCCGAAGATATCCGGAACTTCCAGGCAATTGGTAGCGCACATTCTCTGTGGGCTTAGGGTGGTCGCTCACAGAGTGTCAGATAACGGACTGTGACAGCAGTGGGTCCTTTAGGGCATTGGTAGCTTCAGGTACAGAGGTATGAAAGAAGTTGAACAGTAGTGGACATATCATGGACGGACAGGACGATGAGATTTGAGGATCAGGAGATTGCTAGCAGGTAGGAATATAAGGAGACAGGAGCGCAAAGGAGATGTCAGCGACAGTGACTCCAGCCCCTTATGAGCGTCCGCGGGGGCGTGGGTCAAATCTGGTGCGCATGACGATCCTGTTTCGCTCAAGTTATGTCAGTTTGCGTACTCAAGCCGATTTCGAGCTTCTGAGGACAATTTTCATGGTCGAATGTGACGTGAACACTAACTATGGCCGAGAAGGAAACAGTCACTGTCTCTGATGTTAAATTGGCGAGAGAAGATCTGCCGTTCTTTAGTTAGTCAGTTAAACTTGTAGCGATCTTTAAATACAAGATCGATATTGAAGGGTGAGTGATTACATTAGTTCTCACCCAAGTTTTGAATGGAGTTGTAGAGGACTACTACCAACATCCGCCCGTCTACTTGGCTCTCATCCCGTCCATTGATCCATCGCGTCTGGTTAAACTTCAATCTCGTCGTTAAGCTATGGTCAATGGTTTAGGCCCGATGGACATCTTTACTGCAACTTCTGGTTGTTCTATGTTTGAAGAGCTCCAGATCTCCTTCATTGATTCCCAAGTACCGTCAACCTCCATCGCAGAATTTTCTAAGTTTGTGGCATTTGAATGTGAATTGGACTTTTCAGGTTTTCAAAAGCGGGCCACTTTTTATATCGTCCAAAGGTACACTCTTGTGTTTTTGAGTAATTATTGATTCAGCCAGTTGTTTGCAGTCCATGGAATTTGAAATGTGCAAGTTCCGCTTGCGGATATACAGAGTCAAATTGGGAACGTTTGGGAGTAAATTTCCCCTCTGTGATGTCACCGACCGAGAAGGCCAGGGCCACGGATGTGATACGCTGTTGGCAAGTACACCGAGGCTTTGCACAATTTAACTCCGTTTTTTCAAATTTCAGTGGCAATACCATTGTTATGATGCCTCATATCACACGATGCGAAGAGATACCTATAATTTGGCAGTAGATGAGACACATGGTGTATGGATCTATCTTGGCGAAGGCCTCTACATGTCTTGGAATAGTACATTGTCTCAGAAAGCGCACCGTTGTGTCCTAGCCCCTGACTTTCTATAGTGGAACCGAATCAAGTATTCCAGATCTTCCTTGTGTGGGGTGGATGTAGTTGCTAATTTATGGGTGACTGATGTTTATTGTATCGTTGCTGATCTGGCCCTTCTCCAGACGGCTTCATTAGTAAGACGAATGAATTCAGTAGTTCATTCTCTCAGACGGCTTCTCTTAGTTTGGGCCAGATGAAGACGCTCATGTCATTGGAGACTGTATAAAGGTAACTCTTAGTTTTAACTTTTTATTTGCCTGACACATCAAACACTATCGACTTAAACGTCTTCTAAAAGACCTTTGGTTTTGCTCTCACCTCCAGGTCCTCCTGGTCGATTTTGATCTCTGCTCAGAGGGGGGCCACTCCTTACCTTTTGTTTCTCCTTTCAAATTCCAAGCCAACTTGCTAGGCTTGCAATTTATCTCACAGTGTCCTCTTACTCTTTTCATGCAGCACGTGTTGAGGGAGTTGCCATCTTCACCAGTGCCCACCCCGTGCTGCACTGCTCTTCTTGAAGCTCATAGTGAGTAGAAATTGTTTTTGTGCAGACAACCTGCGAAAATGTATTTTCTTGCATTTTGCTGGATGTTAGATGCTTCTCCCTGTCGTCGATGACAGCCGTCTTATCTGAGATAACTTCTGGCGGGAGCTACATTACAGATATTCTTTGCATAATAACAGTGACGACATTTCAAGATATACCATGCACTCATCATAGTTAATATTGAAATTGTTTGCTGCTCAAAACAGAAGATAGTTGCTTGATTAATAATTCGCAATTCCACGATGCATGGAGATTGAGGAGTACATGGAGAATTAAGCTTTATATTTCTCTGGAGGTGGACACCATGCACTTACTCAGAAGATCTACAGGTCGGGCATCGGTCGTTTCCTCTCCTGATCTGCCCGCTCTCCGCGAACGCTTCAGGATGCTGGTGATTCTAGTGCTATGTTGCCTCCAGCTCGGTGCTTGCGCCGTTGGTCAGGATGATACCACCTTCGGAGAAATAAGCAGAATCGAGACTCTTGATGAGACTCTCCAGGATCCAGATTTCGATGCACGTGCAGAATCGGTCGGGAAAGAGCATGGCAGCATCAACATCGACAGTGGACTTCCTCCGGCTTCCTCCGTCGAAGGGCATATGAGCCAGCAACAAGCACACGGCGGTCAAAGGAGCCAGCGAGAGCTGCAGCAGTTTAGACTTGAGGACCAAGCCGTCGACACTTCGTTAACTAATCGTCATGAGCCTCTCCATCGTTTTCAGGAGGAATCTACACACTCCAGAAGAATATCTCGCACTTTGCTCCAAGACAGCTTCGGGTCAGTGACATTTAGCAGCAAGATATCATCTGATAGAGAAGTGCACAATTCTGCACCTGTCGCTTGTGTCCTTCGTCTGAGCATGTGCAGGGCAATGCGCATGCTCGGACGAGTGAGTGAAATTCATCTCTAACGCCAAACGAGTCCAATGTGTTGCCACTGTCCCAGGGAGGTCGATGCGCTCCTGCAATTCAAGGCCGAAATCGAAAACTACACGGACAATGCTTTCGATGGATGGACAACGGGGAATCGCTCCACCTACTGCTCGTGGACAAGGGTTATCTGCGACGATGAGCTGCACGTGATCTCCCTCAACTTCTCCGCGCTGGAGATGAACGGCACTTTGGGTCCATCGTTGGGCAAGCTCGAATACCTCGAGGACCTCGATTTGAGCCACAATTTCTTGTTGAGCGAGCTTCCTGTGGAATGGGGTCGGCTGCAGAGGTTGCAGACCTTGAACGTCCACGACAATTTTCTCTTCGGTGGAGTTCCTGCAGAGTACGGCAACATGTCAAGCCTACGAGTCCTCTACATTGGAGAACAGGGCGAGTTATTCAATGGGTTCATTCCGGAGGAGCTGGGTTTACTTTTTGAGCTCGAGGTTCTGGCCCTGGGCACGCGCCTCAATTTCGACTCCAAGCAAGAAAACTACCCTGACCGGTCGAACAGGATGAGAGGCCACATTCCCAAGTCCATCGCCAATTGCACTAAGCTGTGGTACATGGATTTCTCCGACAACTTCTATCTGACGGGTCCCATTCCGAGAGAGTACGGCCAGCTCGTCAATCTGGAGTATCTGAGCTTCGAGCAGAACGATTTCACAGGCTCCATCCCATCCGAGCTGGGCAACCTTACGAACATCAAGTTCCTGCACTTGCGATACAATGCCTTGGAGGGAGAGTTCCCCGTGGAGCTGGCGTCGCTGTCGGAGCTCAAGTTTCTGAACGTGGCGGACAACTTCCTGACGGGGAGTTTTCTGACAGTGGAGTCCCCTTCGTGGAGTCGGCTCGAAAAGCTCTACATCAGCGGGAACAACTTTCATGGCGGCTTTCCCAAAGCTGTGACGGCCATGACGGCGCTGACGACGTTCGACATGTCCAGCAACGAGTTCACCGGCAGCCTCCCCGAGAACCTGGGGCAGCTGGCCAACCTCCAAGCGTTTGATTTCACAATCAACCAGCTGGATGGGAAATTGCCTGACAGCCTCAACAACTGCACGCAGCTCTTTATGCTGGGAGCAGCGAAGAACAATCTCACGGGCACGCTGGAGCCGCTAAGAAACCTCTCGCTGCTCGTTCATCTAAGAGCACAGTACAACAGATTCACGGGCACGCTGGAGCCGCTGAGAAACCTCTCGCTGCTCGTTTTCCTGTTCGCAACGAACAACAGGCTCACGGGCACGCTGGAGCCGCTGAAAGACCTATCGCTGCTCGATACCCTGGACGCAAGGAACAATAGGATCACAGGCACGCTGGAACCGCTAAGAAACCTCTCGGCGCTCAAATCACTGGAAGCATGGAACAACAATCTCACGGGCACGCTGGAGCCGCTAAGAACCCTCTCGCTGTTCATTCTGACCGCAACGAACAACAATCTCACGGGCACGCTGGAGCCGCTGAGAAACCTCTCGGAGCTCCGTACCTTGTACGTAGGGAACAACAGGCTCACGGGCACGCTGGAGCCGTTGAGAACCCTCTCGCTCTCCGGTTTGGACGTAGCAAACAACAGGCTCACGGGCACGCTGGAGCCGTTGAGAGCCATCTCGCAGTTCAGAATTCTAGACGTAGCGAACAACAGGCTCACGGGCACGCTGGAGCCGCTGAGAAACCTCTCGCTGCTCTTTATACTGTACGCCTCGAACAATAGGCTCACTGGCACGCTGGAGCCGCTGAGAACCCTCTCACTGCTCTCGGACGTTATGGAATACTTGCTCCTGAGCCACAACGATTTTCGAGGCCCCATTCCCGCCGAGCTCGGCAAGCTGCCGAACTTGGTATTGCTCCTCTTGCACAATAACGGGCTGTCAGAGCCCATACCCACGAGTTTGGCCAACCTGCAGTACATCCAAGAGATCAATCTGAGCAACAATTTTCTGACGGGAGTAATTCCTCCAGAGCTTGGGCGACTGCAGTTCATGCAATATCTCAGCCTCCACAGCAACAACCTCACGGGAACTATTCCCGCGCCTCTGGCAAACTGCGGCTCCCTGAGAAACATCAGGCTAAGCAATAACAAGCTCACTGGCAATGTGACCCAGATTGACTTCTTGCAGCTGCGATCCCTCGAGAGCTTTTCTGTCAACGGGAACCAGCTGGGCGGAGAGTTTCCCGTGAGCGTATACAACTGCACGGATCTGAAGCTCCTAGACCTCAGCAGCAATAAATTCTCAGGAGAGCTCCCCGACAACTACGAGTACTCTCAGCAAGTGCTGCGCAAATTGCGAGTTTTGAAACTATCATCCAACAAATTCGGTGGCCGCGTGCCCGGCTGGATCTGGAAGCTTTCGGAGCTGCAAGTTCTCGACTTGTCGCACAACTCGTTCACGGGAGTCTGGCCCACCAATCTCTCGGGGTTGGAAGGCTTTAGTCGCCTCGAAGCGACGCCAGACGACGGCGAGGAAGGCGCCAGTATCAGCGACGAGATCCTCCCCATACGGGTCGAGGTGGATGAGGATAAATTGCTCGAGCAAATCTCCATTGAGGCCAAAGGTTCGCGACTCGAACTCGAGTACGTCCTCGAGACTCTGTTCTCCATCGACCTGTCATACAACCAGCTCTCCGGGAGGCTCCCGCATGCGCTTGGAGAGCTGCGCAGGTTGACGTACTTGAATTTAGCGCACAATAATTTCTCGGGCGAAATCCCTCAGGTTTTCGGAGATCTGCTGCATCTCCAATCGCTGGATTTGTCGGCCAACTATCTCACGGGAAAGATTCCTGCGGTGCTCAGCAGGCCGAGCTTGAGCTATCTTAAACTCTCCTACAACTTCCTCGAGGGCGAGATACCCACGGCGAATGCATTCTCCACGAGGTACGAAATTTCGTCCTTCAAGCCCGGGAACAATCAGCTCTGCGGACCCCCGCTCGAGACCACTTGTGCGACGCAAGACAGCAACGCAAGCGGAAGCTCGGCCACATTCGGGGCTCCGTCGTTCGAGCTCCTGGATGATGTATTCTGGCGGGCCTTCGAGATCGGAATTCCGATTGGGTTCGTGATTCTGATCGGGGTCGTGATCGGAATGCTGAGAACAATGCCCTGCGCACGACACTGGCTACTCCACACTCAAGATTTCGCTCGCCATTTCAAACAAGGTAGATACGGAGTGTTCAACGAACCGACATAGACCGTATCATTCAGAAATTGACTGCTGCGTACGCCACTGTTCTCTTTGCACCCACTGGACCACGGGGTCCAGTCCGGGCTTACGAGATTCCACATGAATGGGGACTTGTTGTCCGCCATATACATGTGCTATTGCTGCTGGGCCTTTAGATAGCACAATGTTGTCTGCACTCAGTTGTTGTGTAAAGTAGAGCCAGATTCCACGACGATTCATGATTGCTGGATTACTCCCCTTGGAAGCTTTTGTCTCCAAATGGAGCATGTTCATTGTAATTACAATGAACATCGATCTACTTTTATGTCATGATCAGGAGACTCCTCCGCCAATTTCACAGACAATTTAGTACAGCCCGTTCTAATGCTTCGAATGGAGACCCGCCACATGATAAATCTAACTCCAATGATTGAGCCCCTTCATTGGAAGACTTACCTTGTTACAACGTTGATGCATATCAGTCCACAAGTTCGAGGATCGAAACCACTACGGGCCAAAATATGGCAGCGCATCCTTTATAATTTGTTTCGAATAAGACCATTTAAATGTAACAAGAATGATAAGCAGTTGTAGAACCTTCTCGCACAACTTGGAGCTTATATTTGATTAATATATGAACTATTAAAAATGTTCTTGCTCTTGTTGAAGCTCACTTGCTAAATTGACTCTACTGTGAAATATATATAAATATATATATCTGAATCTCTGTGTGTGTGTCATGTGGTATCCATTCTGGTAAAAAATGGGAGTGAAGACTAAGGATCAAGTTGTATCAAAGAATGGCATACATACTTGAGCTCAAAAGGCGAGGGGCAAAGCTCTTTTTCATTGTGAACTTGTGCCTGAACCTGGATCAGAATACTCAGAGGATGAACCTACAACTGAGGTTGACCCCGAACAATAAGATGGTCTTAATGAACCCATTTCCAAGATGTCACCAAGTAATCATCGCATTGCATAAATGTTGGTCATGCAAAAGAGATTAATGAGAATGAATCCTTTGAGTTGAAATTTGAAGAGAAATATCGGCTAATCATGGATTTTGAGTTCAAAACGGCTTCATGTAACATGGGGTAGACCCCAAATATGAGCCCTTCTCGTTTCCAGAATTGCACATGAACTTACATGTTTGGCACAGCATTATAATCTCACTTTGTAGGACTAAATTAACGGCTTCACATTATGCACACAAATCAAAGACATAGATTAAGGGCTCGTGGAGGTGATGTCACTGTGTGTTCCTTTGGAACATCGAAACTTCCAATTTCATTTTCCAAGAAGCAAAATTTATTTCCGCACATTGCGGCGATAAATTTTGGAATCAATCATGGGGACAAAAGCCAGTTGGCCAGTCTGGTTTGAGACCTTTTGTCTTCAACAGTACCTTGCTTCCCAAAATGGAGAACGAAAGTTTGCAATCTGTCCTTCAGCTCACACCGCAACCAGAGCCGTTGGCGTAGATTAGCCTTTCAGAGCAGAGAATGTGAGGAAGAAAAGAAAGCCCCGCCAAAAAATCTTTGCACACGTCACGACAATTAAAATGGTGGCCAATGAATCCAAGCGGGGAGTTGATAATTAAAATTTCCATGACCGTAAACCACCTAGTTCGTTCATGCGTGCCCAGAAAGGCGTAAAGAAAGCATTCGATCCTCAAAGTGCAGTGAAAGTTTAACCACTTCAACTTTCACTACCCATTCTTTGAACCCAACAGGGCATTTGGAAGATCCAATGTTGTGGTCTAAACGATATTATCTGAGCTGATGCTAATCAGAGCCCAAGAGCTGGTTTAAGCTTGGGGAGCCAATACGTGATTTCATCTATTGTCTGGCGTCGATCAAAACACTGCAAAGTTGCTACTCTCCTGGTGAATTTACTGTTGAGCTATGACTACTGACAGAAATGGCAACCGTATACTGAAGTCGCGCTGGGGTCCGCTGATGTTATCAGATGCGGACACAACCCCGTGCACTTGGAGCATCTCAACAGAGACCGCAAACCAAGCTATGTCACGTTTTGTAGCTGTAACTACCCTTTGAAGCATTAAGTTCAAGCTTTCCTTGCCACTAAAGTCAACGAAGTCGAAGAACAAGAAGCACAAGACGTCTGCGTACAAAAGATATCCAAAGTTGCACCAGAATAGAGATCTGCGCTCACGGCTGCCGTGATCAGGACCACCACCATGCCTTTTAGAGATCCTTCCATCCATCCATTCAGAAGACACAATACCATTCTCTCTCTCTCTCTCTCCATATATAGAAGTAAAACGCCCTCTGGTACGAGTCTTCTCTCACCACGGCCGATCTTTTCTCGAATTGGAGGAGCTCAAAGTCACAGGAGACGCCGGGTTGGTAATCTAACGATCTAGTCGTCCGCGTTTAGATGATCAAGATCAATGTGGACCGGCTGAACATTTTGGGAATCATGTAGTTCTCTGCGTCGTTCACTGCTGGACTAGGTAGCTGTCTCGCAATTCCACGATGCATGGAGATGGAGGAGTACATGGAGAATTGAGTTTTATATTTCTCTGGAGGTGGACATCATGCACGTCCTCAGATGATCTACAGGTCGGACATCGGTCGTTTCCTCTCCTGATCTGCCCGCTCTCTGCGAACGCTTCAGGATGTTGTTGATTCTGGTGCTATGTTGCCTCCAGCTTGATGCTTGCGCCGTTAGTCAAGAGGATACCACCTTCCAAAAAATAAGCAGAATCGAGACTCTTGTTGAGACTCTCCAGGATCCAGATTTTGATGCACGTGCAGAATCGGCCGGGAAAGGGCATGGCTGCATCATCGAGAGTGTGCTCGGGAAATTTAGGTGGTTAGAGGAGGAAAGTGGAATTCGCCTTCGGCCGAAGAACTTCGGATCTTCGGACCATCCTCGTAGCCATTTTAGAGGATGCAATAGCCGGGGCCTTTGGCGAAGACGACGAATTTCAATTTGAATTCGAGAGTACCAATTCACGCACGTGTGAGGAACTTTAGGGCATCGAGAGTAAGGGCACGACGAGAACACCCGTCATTGCGATATCGAGAAAGAGAGAGAGCGAGACGAAATCGATCCACCTTGATAGCAGCGAAGACGCAATTGGAGGTATGGCACCGCCCACGATGGCCAAGGTGCGAAAATTGGTTTTGCTGAAGGTGCCTTATGTGAAGTTGCGACCCTATAGGTAATAGCTTATCGAGTTACGCCTGGAATTTCTCCTATGGAATTGGAATTGCGTATCGACGACCATCTGCAAGGAGATGATGGACAAGAATCGTAACGAGGAAGAGGATCTCCGAGGCAATCTGATGCTATGGACAGTCGATCATTGGACAAAGGTTCTAGGACCGTGCGCAGGAGAAGACGGTGACTACATGTTCGAGAAAGATAGCATCAAGATTACGCGCGCAGAAGAATTTACCTTTGTGACATTCTTCAAGATGGCCGATTACAAGGACTCGATGAGGCGTGCGATCGAGTTGAGGATAATGCACATTCTGCGACCGCAACGCACGACATACGTCACCGTTTGGCAAGTCGGCTTCTTCGAGCGCACATTGAAGAGAGAATGAATTCATTGGGCAAAGATCTTCCACGATCTGATTTGGATCAATGTGAGTACCTGATGAAAGGAAGGATTGATTAATCACCTAACCCCTTACTTAGTAAATATCTATCGAGGGATGAGATTACTCACGATGGAGGAAGAGAAGCGATTCCCAAAGGTATGGGAGGTTCTAGCAACTGAGTCCAGCGAAGAGACTGAGGACAAGGACAATGTCCAACCTGAAGTGCCGCCTCAGAGAACAGCGCGCGGACCGGTGCAGGTGGAGGTCCTCACGACCCGAGAACAGCCAGAAAGGAGACTGGCGAAGAGACAAAAGATCATTATAGACGGTGGAGAAGGCTGAAGACAGGAGTCGCGGATGGCAAAGACCGAGATAACAGGAATCAGGTTGTCAAGAACTCAGGCCAGGCCGAAGAAGAGAGCGAATCGCGGGAGGGTTGTGTCCGAGTCTTCGGATAGCAGTGTGGCGAAGACAGATGCAGCGGCCTTGACGACAGATGAAGAGAAGAATAAGGAACATACACTTCAAGCATTGGAAGGAGAAACTTCGGCGGTACAAGTTGAAGCCCCGATGGAAGTAGTAGTGGAACCTTTGGAGGAAAGTACGGAGATAGCTAGTCTAAGTTTTTCACCTTCAGAGCAGACATGGTCTATGGGGAGTGAGGAAGTACCGAAGTCGAAGTCGAGTGAGGAGATGGCGGAAGATCTCACGCTCAGTGAAGAGATGTTTGAGCAGGTAGTGGCACAAGTTAGTGGGACAGTGGTAGAGGTCCTTGAGATTCCATCGCCCCCACCATTAGAAGAAGAGGTAAGACCCGAAGTGGAGAAGAAGGTTTTGGAGAAGGAACCAAAGGAGTTAGTTGGAGGAGGCAGGGTTATATGTACAGTTAGTGAGGAATAGAACCAAGATCAAGAGAGCAGTAGCTGTAAAGAGGGAGTGGGAGTCCGTAACTGCAATGGCGAAGGAACGAGTTGCGAGCTTAACATCCGAGTGCGCGACCATGAGGGCAACACTTCAGGAGCGAAAAGACCATCTTTGAGCAAAGGAGATGGAGTGCGAAGTTATTTGGCTGAACTTAGCCAAGGAGTCCAAACTTTGTACTACATTAGAATAGGAGTGTATCAGTCTTCGGGTCGCCAATGAGAATGTACAAAAGGTAACAGTGGAACTATGTGAGAGATTGGAGGCATCCAAGTGGACGATGCACTTCCAAGCTGCACCGTGGAAGTGCAACGTGTGGAGTGATTGATTGTGGTTTCGACGAAGCGCGATCAGTTGCACTGATCGCGCTTCTTCGCTTAGGAGCCGACGTAAGCTCAGAGTATGCTATAATCGCTGCGTTGGATGGCACTGCACCTGAGAGCAGTTCACCTCATGCGGTTGAGATGTCTAGGAGTTCAGAGTGAATAAAGAGGCCAAATGCTCTTTCCTTGGGGCGTTTTTCTGTCAATTGGCTTGTCTTGGCTATTAATTTGTATCCACTATGCTCGTTTGTGAGCTTGTGTGTCTTGTCACCGTGCATGGTGCGCTCTGGTTTGTTGAAGTTACCGCATCTAGAGTTCTGCATGTCCAACTCGGATGTTCTAAGTAAGCCTGGTGTTATTCAGGATTTAAGCAAATTCGGGTCTGGATATTTAGGTCACTGAGCCGGGAGTGTGCAATTCTGAGAAGTTTCTCCCTGAAACTAGAGTGTGGGGTCGAAGGCGATTCTCACAAGTGTCAATTGGAAAAGTATTAGGCTGTGTGTGTGTTCATACTCTGCTCTTTGGGCCTTTGGCTGTAATCAACCAGTATCTTCTAGGAGAGACCTGTGCCTGGGAAGTAAAACTCGTCAATAGACTATTAATCGGTGACAAATCGTGATTCTTGGTGTTGCATTTGTTTTTGTGGGAACGAATCTATACCCTTATGCTCCATTTTGGTATTTGTTGGTTATCACATTGGCCAACTTGACGAAGATCAAGTTCCTTCACTTGGAAAGCAATGCCCTGGAGCTCGAGTTCCCCGTGGAGTTGGGATCGCTGTCGGAGC